TTTCAGTGTATTTACAGGTGGCTCGAAACGGGACTTAAAAATGGAGGCATCAGGGTAGAAGGTAGAAGACTTGGTATTACGGCCACCAGGGTTGTTGCTGGCTCCGTCTTTGAGTGTGAGAGTGGTCTGTTCAGCCACACCACTGCCACTACATTGTGGATAACATGAGTACTCTAATGATGTGTACAGATCGATCATTGGACATCTTGAAATTTTCCTCGCATCTGTACTCCAACTTTCGGCATAAACTTTTGCTATAATGAAATAAGTGTCTTAGAAATTCCTATGCAAAGCACATTTTACAAAATAGAGTAATAGTATCTTTTGAAATGAAAAGGAAGTATTGAGAATCATAAAGCTATAGAAAAAAAATAAACTATTTTCATAGGAATGTGTTTAGAATACTTGTTATATGGGTGATTGAAAAATAAATAAGTATATTCTTTCTGAAATGCTTGCCAATTATGTTATATGATATGTTCATTGTGAAGTGGACTTGACAACAGAAAATGCTTGGAAATGTTTGACTAAAAATAGAGATTCTTTAAAGCTTTCTTACAGTACACAGTACACATGAACATGGATCACCTTGGAGGAACTAGTGTTGGGTGGTACAATTGGGAACTTGTGACCAATAAGGTCCAGGTAGACCTTATGAATGCAGATGTTGTCCACCAGATAAATCATCCAGTGCAAGCATCTTATGGTACTCCACAACATGTGTCTGTCCAGCTTGCAGTACCACAAGCTCCTCGTTCTAATCATGCAGTCAGTTTAGAATCTACTAATACTACAAATACCCCAAAGCCTCCGGGCCCACGACCTCCAAGAGGTCGCCATGCCCACGGAGAGCGCGTAGCATGCCATGAGTGTGGTAAAACATATGCATGTAACGCAAATCTACGAGACCACATGAGGATACATACCGGCGAAAGGCCCTTCTCCTGTGATGAATGTGGAATGACTTTCACACAGAGATCGAATCTCCGCATGCATAAACGTGTCCATACTGGTGAACGACCATACATGTGTGGTGTGTGTGGGAAAACATTTTCTAGGTCGTCTCACCTACCTGGCCACATGCGACAGCACACAGGAGAAAAGCCTTACACATGTGAAGAGTGCGGACAAACTTTTACCACAAGCCAGAGTATGAAGAATCATAAACGCATTCACACAGGAGAGAAACCATATGTTTGTGATGTTTGTGATGCTGCCTTTACTCAAAGTTCCACTCTGTCCACTCATAAGAAATCGCACACTGGAGATAAGCCTTTCAAATGTGATATATGTAATAAAAGGTTCATTTTCCGATCTGGTTTAAATGAACACATGATAGTACATAGTAGAGATAAACCATACCAGTGTGACCAGTGCCACAAGAGATTCAAATACTCCAATTATTTGTCAAAGCATAAAAAAAAGTATTGCGGTAATGACGGCTATCGCAAGAGGTGGCAGAAGTCTGGGGTAAAGAAGCCATCGGGAAGAAGATCCGGCGGGTTTCGCAAAGCTTCATCTTCTCTGCGAGTAACTGCATCACACACCCTAGACGATGATCAGGGTGAAGATGATGAGGTCATATCACTTCATGAAGAGGAGGAGGAGGAGGAGGAAGAGGAACAGAGACAGGAACAGCAGCGAAGAAGCAGGATATCTCGTTACGAAAAGAGGAAGGAGAAGATTCCACTACATATTTCTGATGATGGCGATTGGAAAAAGGCTTGGATAAAGCAAGGATACAAGTAGAAAATTGGTCCCAGTCTGTCACATGTGCATTACATCTGTACATTCTTGCCTTTGTGTGAAAATATTTGAGTTCTAATGATTATATGCTTTAATTGTATAGATAGAACGTTATTACAGATTAATTGTAAGATATTTCTTTGAAATCTCCATATATTTAGCATTCCATATTAGTAGGCATCTTTTTTCATATTGGTGCATTGTATATTCCAGGCCACCGCTTGGCCATTTTAATTGCAATAGGCAAATTTATATGTGATAAATGGTTTACAAGCCATTAGACTTCTAAAAAAAAAAATGGAAGATAAAATAACTTTCCTATGTAATAGTGTGTACCTATAAAAAGCTGGCTTTCTGCCATATAATGGTCATGAAGCCAAATGAGGCATACAAATAAATATGAAGAGTATGTGAGTGATTAAAATGATATTTGAGTGTGTTTTTGTATATTTTCTCCTAAAATACAGCTGAATTTACTAATTCACTGAGTACTTCACTTCTCTGAAACACAGAGCATAATTTTTTGTTTATCTAATTCATGCACCTAACTAAGTGAAGCAGCTTTAACCTCTATCATCCTCTGACTTTATAACAGATCTAGTCACTATTTGTAATGTGAGGACTTAAATTAATCTTTGCGCCAACACAGTATAACTGATTTTTACATACCTGGCATAAAACACAGAAACATAAAAGGTTTGGTGCAAACCAGATGGAGGCAGGAAAAAATTACTGCCTGTCTCTAAATATATAT